GACTTGGTTTTGGAAGCTGTACGAGATGAGAATCCTAACACACCGAAGACATTTTGTGTTAATGCGTTTGCCGGAGCTGGAAAAACTTTCCTTTTTAGGACGATCCTTCATGCTGTTCGAGGAATGGGCCACGTTGCCATTCCCGTTGCGTGGACAGGCATTGCTGCTGTGCTGTTGACCGGTGGAAGAACTGTACACTCTACTTTCAAGTTGCCCGTTCCACTTCTGGAAAATTCTTCGTGCCGTGTGAGACAAGATAGCGCTGAAGGAAGGTACTTGAAGACTGCGAAACTTTTCATATGGGATGAATGCACCATGACGCCTCATTACGCTTTGGAAGCTGTCGACAGATTGCTGAGAGACTTGACCGGACTGGATGTTCCTTTTGGCGGTAAAACCTTAGTTTTAGGAGGTGACTGGAGACAAACATTACCTGTTGTCGCACATGGAAACCGAACTTCTGCGATCGAGAGCTGCCTCAGGAACTCCTTTTTGTGGCCACATTTCAAACAATGCACGCTTTCCACCAATATGCGATTGAATCCGGAAGAACAAGAATTTTCAGAATGGCTTCTGCAGTTGGGAGACGGTCGTCTTAAAAATGACAGTGGCTTGGACGAAGACATTATCGAAATTCCATCTTTGTGTGTGGTCAACAGATCGATAGTAGAAGAAATGTTTGGCTGCGGTAATGAATTCGACTTACAAGACTTGGCCAGTAAAGCGATTTTATGTCCAAAGAACGAGGAAGCTCTGAAGCTTAATGAAGAAATTCTTTCCACGTTTCCAGGTCAAGTTTTCACGCACTACAGTGCAGACTCGGTTATTTGCGATGACGAAGAAGAACAAGAAACGTATCAGCTGGATTTCATCCACAGCCTGACGCCTTCTGGAATGCCACCTCATCGTCTGAATTTGAAAGTTGGAGTTATAGTTATGCTTCTACGAAATCTACATCCATCGGTTGGACTCTGCAACGGAACAAGGCTCATTGTGAAGAGAATTATGCCAAACGTTTTAGATTGTGAAGTCATCTCTGGACAGAATGCTGGATCGAGAGTTTTCATTCCACGTGTTGAACTTTCACCATCAGATTCAAACCTCCCCTTTCAGCTCAAGCGAAGACAGTTTCCCATCAGGCTTGCATTTTGTATGACTATTAATAAGTCACAGGGACAGACACTTAAGAAAGTTGGGATTTATTTACCGCAACCAGTTTTCAGTCATGGAATGCTTTACGTAGCTTTTTCAAGATGTTCGTCTATGAGGAATGTTCGTGTTTTAGTGAAAGACACCAAGAAGCAAGGCCGTTTGATGCCCGCATGTTCTAAAGTATTCACAAGAAATATTGTTTACAGGGAGGTTCTGCAGTAAAAAAGTTACTCGAGACATTGAAACAGTGAGATTTTTGCAACACAAAATGAAGTTAATCAAGCCAAAGCAAAAATGAAAAAGATTTGAGGTTTTTGGATGACTGGGATAAATTGAAGCAAGTCAAGATGAAGCTGAAACAGTTTGAGAATTATGCATTAGTCGGCTTTTATGTCTGTTGTTACAAAGTGGAATTTGTAGTAGTTAGGCAATCGGAAGCTGTATTATTTTTTCAATGTTGTAAATATTTTTTATAAATTTTCCTTTTCAGGTCTACATACAATTGCGTTCATTAATTTTAAAACATTTTATGTATTTTTCTTTTTTAGGTATTTATGGAACTGATTTCAATCACATAAAAATATTTCTTTTTCAGGTGTATATAGAAATGATTTGATTCAAATTAAAATGTTTTTATACATTTCTTTTCAGATGTACATAGAACTTGTAAATACTTTTTTTCAGGTGTATATAGAAATGATTTCATTCAAATTAAAATGTTTTTCTTTTCAGGTGTACATAGAACATGTAAATTTTTGTAAATAATTTTTCTTATTCATTGCTTGCATTTTTGTAAACACATACAAATATATATATATCTTAATTGTGCGTGTGTGTATATATGTATATACAATTGCATCAATATATATATATATATATATATATATATATTTATATATAGTGATGCAATTTTGTCTATGATTCTGTAACAGCAGACCAGGGAAGGGGCTGATACCTGGGAGAAAAAATAACCCCCTGGTCGATGAGGTTGCAGAGGAGACCCCAGGTGTCAGGCAGTTTATGCCGTCAAAAGCCCACCAATTTTTTCTGTTTACATTTTTTTTTTCTGTTCAAGTTTTTTGTGTTTAATATAAACTTATAACTAAGAAATTATTATTATTATTATTTATTCTTTTCAGATAAATACGGATTGTAGCTCGCCCATCTGGCGTACTTACTCGGTAGATTTTAAAAATTATTTTCTGTTTTTCTTTGAACTATTGACGCAATAACTGATTTCATTCATATAAAATATTTTGTTTTGCATGATATTTAATATACTCAAGGGATAGGCCTGTAATGTCTTTCCCAAAGTTGTGTCTTTTATAGACATAGGTACAGTAAAATATTTTACGGGTTCACACGACTGACATTTTATGAAACGTTTGGAAAAGTTTCTGTGTGCTGCCCTACTGTGTTATCCAAAGAACAACAGTTGCAGTAGTTGATGATAATGTGTGTACAGCCCCAAATAATTGGAGACAAGGATATTTTGGAGTTTGTTCAAAGCTAAAAAAATATCATTGATGCAGATTCCGACAAAGAAAACGAAATGAATAATGCAGTTCTTGTGGATGATTTTGTTTCATTGATTTTTTATTAAATACATGCCTATATGCATATCTGTGCAAATAAAATGTACTCTAATAAACTTAATTTTGTTGAAAATATGTTTTTTTTTTTTTTTTTTTTTCAATATCCTTTAACACGAAAAAATTCTTCAGTCCCTTCGGTTTCGTGTTAATAATAATGAAAGTGAGAAAAACAATTTTAATCATAGATTTAAAATTATTTTTCTGTTTTTGATTTAAATACAAAATATTTCCACAAATTTCACACAGAAACTATTTTAGACACCAGCAAAGAATTGAGTGGGTGCAGCCCACCCATCTGCAATACTTACTCGGTAGATTTTAAAAATTATTTTCTGTTATTTATTTATTTTGAATGCGATAAAAACAGGCGACTAACTAATTTGGTTTATATGTATGTACATATATATTTTCAAATGTATATACAGGGGATATTGGACACATACAACACTATTGACACAATATGAGCTATATCCACACAATGATGGAACAAGGTGTGCAGCAGATGCAAGACATGGGCATGATTCACATGATATTTGATATACTCGAGGGATAGGACTGTAATGAGCAAATGAGTTTGTTCCACAAAGTTGCGTCTTTTACAAACACCCAACATTCGAATCCCAGTGAATGGGGTGGCTGCATGGGTGTTTTTGTTATTTTCCCCATGCCACTTTCCTTTAAAAAGCCGACAAGAAGGCATCCCTCCCCTTAGGCAGATTGCACTCGAGTGCTTTGCCGTAGCTGAATACGCTACACCACTACATTACACACGGAAGTAAAAATGACACTTCCTGTGGTCGTTGCCTAATTATTCAAAATATTTTGATAATTGTTATCTGTTCTTAGAATTTCCATAGCATTGCACATATTATTATTTAACATTCTGTTATTTACCAGCAATTTTATAATCTGCAAGTTTTGGTTTTACAATTTTTGATTTTTTAAAATTAACACCTTCTTACACAATTTGCAAACGAGTTCAATAGCCAAACATTCCCTTTCATATTACATCTGAAGAACTGTTGTAGCATTATGCAACAAACATTTCGCTGTTCATTAAAATATAGGAACACTTTTCAATCAAATTTTGATTAGAATTTGATGTAGATTGAAAAGTTGTTTTCAACTCAGCTGCCTTTACACTCGCAGTTGTATTCACAATTGATTTTCACGCTGGACTTTTATCATTTGTCATATCCGCTAAATTTTAAGTGTCAGCAATTTTTTCTGCGGTAACAGCATCTACAAATGACCATCTGCCATGAATATTCTTCACACATGCACGAGTTTTATTTTAGAACCGCTGATGCTTTGGGTTTATGATACTACTTGCTAATAGTATGCATTATGATAGCATAAGTAAAAAAAAAAAAATTACCAGTATAATCAAAATAGAACAAATTCACGACTAAAATATTATCAAGAGTCTTAGAAGACCCTTCGAAGAACATTTTTAGAAGGTAAACAAAGATAACTGACGAAAACTGATCAGCTCGAAAACCCACGCTTGAAAAATGTAAACAAACGCCGCCGAAAGCAGTTACAGTTACGACTAAGATCAAAGGTTTGCTCGCAGTTAAAAGTATTACTTCCGAGCATGAAAAAATTGTAACATAATGCTTTTAAATGTTTTCTACTATTTTAAAGGCATTTAAATGCCAGTATATATTTACTGTTATGAAACATAATTACAAAAGAGATGTTAAGTATAAATATATAGACAGCAGTTGGAGTTTACCAAAAAGAATTTAAATAAAGGAATTTTAACAACGAGTATACTGTTGGAATAACACACCCGAAAATTTTCGCGATTACACTTCGTACAAGCAGCTGAGCGGTAAAATCGCTGAACACTGGTAGTTCGGTCCAACTTTCTAATCCCGGCGAGCGGGCTGGCTGCATGTGTGTTTTCGTGGTTTTCCGCATGCAGTATCTTCTGCATGCATACGTTAACAAAGCGGGCGCAGCAAATGTAAAATCGCTGTACACTGGTAGTTAGGTCTAACTTTCGAATACCACGAAGGCATCCATCCCCTGAAGTAATGGGCTTCAGCCCGCTCAGCTGGCGGGCTTGCCCGCTAGTATCAAAAAAATTATAAGAAACGCAGCTCTGATTTTTTTTTTTTTTCAGAAAATAGATAAAAACAGAAATACAAAATATGTAAGTATTAATACAAATTATAGTTAGTATAATCAAAATGCTATATCTAAACTGCTTAATGTTTTGCTTAACTCTTACGGTCCGTTACTCACCGTCTGTAAGAATGAAAATAATAAATTTCTGTCCTCTCCTACCAAAAGCCTGTTCAGTCAGATGAAGGAAGTTTTTTCTTATGTTTTCTAAGGAAGCAGCAAGTGTTGTTCTTCCACTACCTACAAAAAGACATAAATATTACGGATTAAGAAACTGAGACACTGCGAAGAAACCTACATTGAGTTACGCAACACAGCTTTAGAAAGACGCGTTGCGATCAAATTAGAAATAATTTAAACACTTAAAAACAGTTTCGAAATTCAATAAAAAAGCATAGAAAGTGTAAACAATATCTAAGGGAATTATGCAAAAATATCGAAGAGAGTTATTTTAATTCCTGGAGAAGATTCCTTTGAAATGTAAGCTAAAATAACATTGCGCTTTATTCCCAGATTTTAAATTTTACATTGACATGCTTTGATTCTATTTGAAATACGTTTATCTTAAAATTTCACTCTGATTTGTAAAAAGAATATTCAGAAAGTAAGACGAGATGATAAGTGTCTGGCTGTCTTTATAGTCTTCGTTGGATAATTTTAAATATTGCGGAACGTCACTAAAGTCGTCAAGCTAAAATAAAGCCATTTAATTAAAGCTCTTAAAATCTTTCATAGTACCACAGATAGGAATTAATTCCCTGTAATCTATTTTATTAGCGGAAATATTACGAAATCTAACTTTTTATACATTTTTTAGGTTTCTATTCTTATATTTAGAAGCATTTTGCACTTGTCAATTTGCATTGAGGAGCTGAGTTAGTAAATAAATTAGAAAAATCGAAGTTGATTCTCCCCCTCCTTAAATGCCACTTTAATGATATTCTTTTGGGATTTATTAGTTCTTTGTTTACACTTTTATTATATTTGGTATGCCGAAAACGTTTTCGTACAAATAATTTATACGTTTCAGTCTAAAAATGCGTTATTAATTATTCTCATGAAGTTTTAGACTTTAGAGTCATCGTTTGGTATGAATATTTTTCTATTTTTAATTAGTGCAAATCATATTACGAATTAGCTTGGTATCACTTCTGAAGTACACTGGTACATATTATTTTCTAGAACACGAATTCTACAAGATTCTGTGAATAAGATCTCCATTTTTTGAATATATATATATATATATATATATTGTTGAAAATCACCTTTTCTAAACGATAATATATTTCTGTGATGTACAAATGCAAATATTTTGTTTTTTAATATTTGTACGCTCCTTAACGAGCCCACAGTTTTACTAAACATTAACTATAGGGACTGAAGGAATGTGTAAAAACGTAGATTTCATACATTGATTTCTTTAACCCTTTGCGGCACAGTGTGTCCGGTCTGGACACACCTAAAAGTTTCCTTCTGTACGCGCAGAAAAATTGAATGAAAAAGGATTTATAGCTTACTATAAGTTACTCTGAACCTTCTTTATTTATAGTAGATGGCAGCTCAACCCAAACCAGTCCATATATTTTAGCCATGTTTAGTTTTTTAAGACCCTCATTTTTCAAAGAAATCTTCCAGATTTTTTTAGGGTACAAAAAATTTGTTTGAAAAGAAATTTCTATGTTATTTTTGTGGCTGTATGCTAATCTCCTTATTCTATATTAGTTTTAAATTTTTACCTTGAAATCTTGCCTAAAATCAAACGGCGAACCCTAGGTGTGCCCAGACCGGGCTCACCGATCGTCTAGGACAACTGAGAGTCTGTATTCTTTGTTTCTCCGCATCTCATCGATCAGTTCATTGACAACAATGCTCGTTTCAACACTCTTTTCGAAGCTCTATTCAATCAGTGTTCCACTTTGGGCACACCCACAGATTTAAAACGATAAGTGCTATCTTCACAAAATTTTACTTATGTACTCCTCTAGGCCTAATTAGACTGCCTACCTTTTTTTTTTTTTTTTAAATCAAAACTCCGACTTTAAAAGGTAGCGTGCCGGAAAGAGTTAAATTTAAGAATGCGAAACATGAAACTTTGCATTATTTAAAACAGTGTTTGAAGGCTCAGGTGCTGGGCACTTCATCAGGCTCCTCGGCTGGAAAGCCGTATCCTGTGTATATCCCGTTTTAGTTGCATATCTTTTTCTGGCATATCATGGCATAAATACTGGGGCGAGGAGAATTCCTCATGATAAGCAGTATGGCGTGATGTTCGTTGAATGAGCCTTTCGCATAAACGCTACGGGCAGTTAGTCGCGTTCATGTCAGGGGAGCAAGGCCTAAGTGTTGCTGCTTCTACGATGTCCGACACTCAAATGTCGATGGAGTGGCATAGGGATGGTCGAAGAGGTGGAGGGAGGAGCTACTGGTCACGTGCGCCAATGATTGGTCTGAAAAGAAAGTGCACAATCTTGTTTGTCAGGCATTGGTTGGGGGGCTGGGCTGAGCTAAAGTTGATACTTATTGGGGGTATGCTTTAATGTCAGCACTGTGAATAAGATATCAGAGATACAAAACTAATTATAATAAAAATATAAGGCTAAAATTATGCAGAATGCAATAAAGTGAAAGGACCATGTTCTGAGATAGTCTGTGGCCTAAATAACTATTGTTTACGGTCGTACTAGTGAAAAGATATAAATTGAAAAAAGTGTGCGAAGTTAAATTAAAATTTGGTTGACAAACTATAATAAATGCCGGAGGACAGCTCCTGGTCTCTTTTTGTTTTCCTCAATTGTGTAGTCATAGGTCAATCTGGGGATGGAGCTATTGTTGACTTTTTCGATATTGTTAAAAAATTTTTTTGCAATTTTGGCAATACAGATACTTATGCTGTCAATATTCAATTCATTGTGTATGGCTTCGTTTCTGAAATACCAGGGACTGTTAGTAATTCTTCTTAGGGTAATATTTTGGCATTGTTGGATTTTTTGCATATGCGTTTTACAAACATAACCCCAGACGGGACAGGCGTAAGTAATAATTGGTCGCAGCATGGATCTGAATACATGAAGTTTGTTATGAATAGATAAAACAGAGTTTCGGGCAATTAGGGGGTTGAGTAATGCTTTAGTTCCCCGAAACTTATTCAGGATATGTGTGATGTGTGGGGCCCATGTGAGTTTTTGGTCCAAAATGACACCAAGGTATTTGACTTGCTTGGCCCAGGGGATGGTGACTTCATACATCTGAAGAGTGATGTTCAGATCGACGATTCTTTTTTTTGTAAAGAAAACTGCTTCGGATTTTTCCACGTTTGTTTTAATTTTCCATTTTATCATCCAGGACTCTAATGCATGGATGTGTTCTTGTAGTGTATGTACGACTGCGGCCATGGACGCATCTTGGTACAGGATCGCAGTATCGTCTGCATAAAGTGCGAGTGTAGTGTTGGGGTGGTGTGGGATGTCGTTCGTATAAATTGAAAATAATGTGGGCGAAAGTAAACTTCCTTGAGGTAAACCCGCTAGAGTTACTTTCCGTGTGGAGTGCGTATTGTTATATCGAACGACAAAGTGTCTATCGTAAAGATAGGAATTGATGATGTTTATGATGTAGTCTGGGAATCCCAGAGTGAGTAATTTGTAAGTGAGGCCCTGTAACCATACACAGTCAAAGGCTTTCGAAATATCGAGAAAGAGAGCTCCTGTGATTTGCCTCCTCTGGAAGCCGTCAGCGATCATCTCAGTGACTCTGTAGAGTTGGTGCGTCGTAGAGTGCTTCCTTCTAAATCCATATTGCTGTGGTATAAGAACGTTGTTGTCTGTTAAGAAGTCTTCTATTCTTTTTAGGATAACTGCTTCTGCAATTTTGCTGAGTGTTGATAGTAAGCTGATCGGTCTGTATGAAGTAGCCAGGGTAGGATCTTTTCCTGGTTTTAAGATTGGCGATATGATAGCTGTTTTCCAGTTGGTCGGAAAATACTGGAGGCGGAGTATGGCATTCAGTAGTTTTTAGTAATTTTATATAATTTTATATCAAGCAGTAGTAAATTTGCATATCATTTTAACTCCCATTTCTTTGAGCATTTTATTACTAATTTTATCAAGTCCAGGGCTTTTTCGATTTTTCCTCTTCTCGATATACCTAATAACCTCTGATGGCATGATTAAGGGAGTGTTGTTTGTGTGTGGTTTTGTTTGGAATTGTGTGATGAGTGATGCGACTGTGAGTTCTGTTTGGGGGTTAGATATGTTGTGAGTGCGAAATTGAGAAGCGTAGTGATCTGCAATAGACTCAGCTTTCTCAAAATCAGTGTAAGCGATCCCGTTGGGGCCGTTAATGGGGGCGGAATATTAGTGTTGCGTCTTTTGAATTTAGAAACAGCGTTCCACAGAGAATTATCATCCGTGGAAAGTGATTCCAAATGTTTGGCCCAGTCAAGTTGTGCATGTTTTTTGAGTAGAGTCCTGACTTGCTGGTTCAGTTGATTTAAGAGTGTTTTGTCCGTAGGGCATCTGAATTTCTGCCACTGCTTACGGATGTGGTTCCTTCGTCTGATCATTTCTCTAAGTATCTTATTCTTGTACCGTTTATCTTCTCTCACAGTTTTACTGTTCTTCAGCAAAGCATCATGTAGTTCATCAGTGAACTCTTCCGTGAAAGCGTCTAATTCATCCCTCGTCTATATCGTGTGGGTAGGGTACTGCGTGTTGTTGAGAGCTTTGGCATATCCTGCCCAGTTTGTAATAAGGGCTCGTTTGTGTGGTGTACTATAGGAGTCGGTAGTAATTTCCATCATTACCGGGTTATGGTCTGATGATAATTCCGTCAGACTTTCTACATAACTGGGTGGATTGATATTTTTTAAGATAAAGAAATCCATGACTGACGGTCTACCTATCCCATAGTGTGTTGGTTTTTCCGGAACTGCGAGGTGAATATTGGCCGCTTGGGCAATGGTGTGAATGACTTTTCCGTGTTGGTTAAAATCCCAGCAGTTCCACTCGCGGTGGTGTGCATTAAAATCTCCACCTATGATGACCCGATTGTTTGTGTTTAATAAGGTTTGCAAATCTGTCTTGACAGAATTTGTAGGTGAGTGTATTGGGAAATAGGTGGAGATGACTGTGATTGGTCGTGAAGTGTTTGGCGTGAGTGTAATAGCTAGGGCTTCAACTGCTAAAAGCTGTGGTAATGTTATAGCATGATGAGGGATGGAGCGCTTGGAGCGCTTGATTAGAATAAGCAGCCCTCCTCTTGCGTTGCCTCTTGGAGCATATCTGCCTTCTGTAGGTCTGTCCCAGCGATGCGTCACGTAGTTGCAAGCTCTGAAGTAGTTTTGGGGGCCAAGCATGTGTTCTTGTAGGAATACAATATCAGGGGAAACTTCATGTAAAAACTCCTTAAGCTCGTAAGCTTTTGGGAGCAATCCATTTGCGTTCCAGGTAACACAAGTTAAATGCATATTATGGTTTTGCTGATACATTGTTGTTAATTTCATTTACTATTTCATAGAACATAAATAATTTATCAACAGGGTCACTTAATTCTTTTAACTTTGGTAAATAAGTTTTAAACACATTATTCATTAATCTTATATTGTTAATTCCTAAAATGCTATTAAATTCGGAAATATTTTTCATGAAACTCAAAAACTCGGAGCCTTGTGGCTTCTCTTGATTATCAATTGAGACATTTTCACCACATTTGTTTACATTAGACATGTTTAAATTTTTTAATGCATTACTAAGATCAGTTAACTTAATGCTTTCACTGTTTTTACTATGTGCAGCAGAAGCCGATTTAAGGACTGGCATAGCCGGATTTTCTGCGAATAAATTCGCCTGGTTTTTCAGCATGTCTGCAAAAGAGATTCATTTTTTTACCATATTATCCTTTTTTGGGGGATTGATTTTATTTTTGGGAAACTTTTCGCAGCCACGGTAGGAAGCCACGTGGTTTTTTAGGCAGTTGGCACATTTCGGTTCCTCCATTTTTCCTTTCATTGGGCAGTCCATCGTTTTATGCTCTTCTGAACATTTCACACAACGTGGAGCAAAATGACAATTATCTGATGAGTGGTGCCATTTTTGACAATTATAACATTGTGGCACCTGGTTTTTTGAGATGTATTTTTCCACCGTGACCGCGAAAAATAATAAATCACTGACATTATAAATTTCCTCTGCAATTTCATTTTTAATAACCTGCACCAAAAAAAGAGGCATTGGGGCTTTAGTTCGTCGTCGTGTGAGCTGGGTTACTTTGCTAATTCCAAATCCTTTGGCCGTAAGGGCGCCGGCAATATCATCTGTATTTGTGGTTATGGATAAACCCCTAATAACCACTTTTATGGGTCTAGCGTAATTTGCACTTATAATATAATGCTCCACTTTCTTTTCCAGAAATAATGCCGTAAGCATCCGATGATCGTCGGCTGTCCTGGGTAGAACTTTCAGAAGTTCACCGTTCACTTTTCCTAAGAACTTAGCCTCCGTTTTCAAAGATAATTCTTTTAGAAAAGCCTCGTGAGTTAATTTCCCAGGGTTAACCATAATTGGGGGAATAGTTTGGGTGTGATTACTAGTCTACGACCAACGGCTGTCAAAATAAAGGCCGGGTCTAGCGGCCTACCCGCTCAACCAGTCGAAAAAATTTCAGATAGCGTTATTTTAAGGTACGAGGTCGAGGTGCTGATGATTTAAAACAGGGATGTCAAACTCATAGGTACACTTGGGCCAAACAAACAAGATTTAACTTTAGGCGGGCCGCATAACTTTAGGTGGGCCGCATGCAATATTTCTTCAGAAATATTCTAACAATATCACAAAATGTCAAACGTTTAGCAAAAATCAATTCAAAACAGAGAAACTAATTCCATCTCACAGCGAAATCGCTACAAATCAATCACAGCATTAAGTAAACAAACAGTTTGCTAGAACTACAGCTACTACTGAAATGAGTTGTTTGTTCTCGGCTTTTATAAGCTTTAAGATTAATTTCTCGAATATACTGGAAACATGTATAAATATCTGGATTTTTGTGGATGGCAACAGCAATTACGAGATATTTATTTATTAGGTATTAAATGCACGCGCTGTTCTATTTTTAACCTTCCAACGCAGCTGTCTTTTCAAAAATCGTCTGCGTTGCTAAGGCAACATGAAGCAAATCTAATTATAATTCTAAATAAAAAAAAAACTAACTAAATAAATAACTATGAAATCCGTAACAATATGAATTAAGTAATAATTAATAATAAAGCAAAGTGGATGCACATGCATGCACCAATATATCGTACAAAACTATGATTGGAAAACTGAGACCATGAGTTCGGCCACATTCGGCTATCGTGGGATGCGTACAAGTTCTGAGTGCACGTGTCCCCCAAAAGCCGAAGGTAGCTGAACGCAAGCTACTCACACGCATTTGTAATTTAAGTAGTGTGTGTGTCAGCTCGCTGTGAGTAATCTAACAACACTGAATAAATTATCGTTAATTACTTAGCAGTAAACATTTCATTTTTTTCTTCGTCGATATGTTATTTTATTATTATATATTATTATTTGCCGATATATTGGCCGGGCCGCAAAAATATTTGTTGTGGGCCGCATGCGCCCCGCGGGCCGCGAGTTAGACATCCTTGATTTAAAACAACACAGCTTTCACGGTTAACTGTTATGGTGAAAAACATTTAGATATTTTCCAATGACAACATCCACTTTTTTCCTGTGCAAACTTTCATTAGAATTACAAGTTTCCAACGTGCTCTCTTCGCAGACTATAATGCATTGCATACGGGAGTTTACTGACAACAATAACGAACGTAACATCGCAAGAAGAGTCTGTATAACTTCATATTTTATGCCATCTTCAAATTCTGGCAAATATCATAAATATGATGATGTGCACACCTTAGATTTCAGGTAATTCCAGAAGCAGATATCCATAGGAGTGAGGTCGGAAGATCGCGATGGCCTCAAAACTGGAACATTGCTGGTTATTACTCCATCTCGAAACACTGAAAACTTGTAATTCCAATAAAATGTTTTTCTCTGTCCTCTCTCGTGTTGCCACTGTTCCCTTTAAAATGTTCGTCTTTGAAAGTGTGTTACGGCGGCAATTTTAGTCCTACGTGTATCACGCCAGCGCCATTTATTGTTTCTCAATGCGCTAATCAATTTGCGCAAGAAAGAAACGGGGGTTGCTATCGTAAAATTTAAAAATATTTTCACCGGTCGTAACCGTGTGAGATCTATTGCTTTAAAATGTCACAACCTCGATCACATACTTTCAATATTTTGGTTGATTGAGCAGATAGATCCGATAAGTGTTTATATGTCTGGGAAGTTGCTTTATGTCACCCTGTATAGACAGCTTTATTGTCTAATTCTTCTTCATCAGACCCGGTAACTTTTCAGTTTTTTCTCTCATATCATGTTTTATGTTTGGAGTCTTAAAATTACAACATATAAACGCATTTATCTCTCATTTTGATTTTGTGGCTTTTGGCTTAGCCTTTCGCTGAAAGGCACATTTTCTCTTGATTTATGTCTACTTTCTTTAAATTGATTATTTTTTAAATTCACGAACCAAAAATTATTATAAGTAAATAATTTCAATTCCTTCTAACTCTGCAATCTTATCTTTATGTGTGGGCGTGTATACAAGATTATTCATTATTCTGTAAAACATATTAAGAAATCATAATAAGTTTACAATGCATCCAATATTAAATTTGATTACCATGCAGTAATGACCCTCACTAATTTTGTTCACATATTTAAGAAATGGTCAAGGGTGCACACATTTTCTGATGCTTTGTACATGTTTGGAATAAACTCTTCTCTCTCACATACGTTTATAGTAAAACCCTGGCAGCAGATATCCGTAATGCTAAAGACTCCGTAAATTTTAACTAAATAACTGATTAATAATTAATAACTTAATAGTAACTTAACAACTAATACCGTACAGCCATTGATGTTACACAGGATTTACAAAATCAAGCCAGGAGGTCAAGAAAAACTGCCAGGATTGACTTTCACAAGCCATTGCAGTGAAATTTACATTTGCGACTCGGACGCAAACTCAGCACATCTGTGGACAGTTCACAAATATTACTCAACAATAAATACCGGCTAATCTTTGGAATATGGTAACAGGTAGTTTGGCGACATTTTGGTAAGGCGATAAAGGTTACTAGCTAGGACTTTAGCAATAAACTGAGAAGTACACAGTTCGAATCACAGATTATTTGGTCTCACAGAAATGAGAGATCATGAGATATGTAATGTAGCATTTTCCGGAAAATTCCAATGGGGATTTTAGCTAATAAGCACTTCGAAACAATTTCGCTGCTAAAGTGCAGAATCGCCCACTTATTTGTTTGGCGCTTTTTACAAGAGTAAGAATTGGATTTTTGTCAATTTTCTTTGACTTTTTAAGTGAAAATAGGTCGATGTGTACATGGATAAAGTCAAGAGTGTGCGCAATGCCATTTTTGTGCAGTTTTGGGAAGTTTTTTTAAGTGAAAATAGGTCGACGTGTACATGGATACCGTGCATATGCAATTCTTAAAAAGGCGGCAAGCAGTGGACGATTCTACACTTTCTCCCTATTTCGCATCTAATCTTCGTCATGATTAAGCACTTTTGTTCCATAAAAGTTCTAGCATAAGCGTAATTCGGCTAGCAGATTGTTAGAAATTTAAAAAAAAAAAAAAAAAAAGCCTTTACTTCGTGAAAACAAAATAGCCCTCCCCCCTCCAAAAAAAAAAAAAAAAAAAAAAAAAAAAAAAACTATCAGGTTGCTGTAGCAGGGTTGGTCACCAAAGTTTCACCAAAAATTCGCCAAGTTACCATAATTCGAAGATTCACCTAAATACCTAGCTAAATGCAGTCGAGACCAATAATAATAATAATCTTTTGTTGTTAATTTGCAGTTAACAAGCTCCGATAATTAACCTACTTCCCAATGTTTGAGCCATAAGCAAGTGAAAATAAGACTGACTTTTAAAACTGCATTTATTTTTAAAAGTCAGGCAACTTAAAGCCTGACTTTTAAAATTAATTGCAAATAATTGAAACATTGTTACTTTACCAGTGTCCTCGAATTTGTCCAAGGCGCGGAGAACATCTTCCGTACGCCTGTAGCTAGTAGGTGAGAATGCTATTTTTTCAGCGTTAGAACCGAACGTGGAAGCTCCAATTCTTGTCCCATACTCGCTTACGCCAACCTTTAAAAAAAAAAAAAAAAAAAAAAAAAAAGGAGGATTAGAAGGAAATGCTATTACTTTATTTTGTCTGTGTGTTCTTAGTCTGCGGGCTTAAAATAGAATTGTTACTTATCGTGATGCACATTGTAAAGGGTTACTGCATATATTTCTGAAACTCCCTTGTATACGCAAAAATGTATGCAGCGTTTTTCTATAATTTATTATTATTCTTCTACGTTAACGTTCTATAGGGCCATAAAAGGTATATTTGTTTTTAAATTTGTTTCTTCTCAAATTTTAGTACTTATTCCTTTGCATTTCACTATTTTTAATAGTCTATAATAATTAATTAGCTTCATTATTATTTTAATTTTGTGTGCCTTTTATGCACACATTTTTATTTTTATCTATTGATTTATTCTTTGCACTAGTCAGATTGTAATTAAGGCTTTTTGTGATAATTATTTTTAATTAAATATTTGTTCTGAAATATTTCTGTGACTTTTTTTCAATACCTTTGTGTCGTAATTCGATAACTGCATTAATTTTAAACACCCACATGTCATGTCTAGTTTTTCTTAATTAATTATATAATTATAATTTTAATTTTTTAATTAAAATTTTCGGACTCCGACATCTGCTTGCTCATCAGCTACTTAATTTCTAAGTTGTTCTTTTCATATTTTGTATTCTTGTATATGTTTCTATACTAGAGCAGCTACTTAGTACTAATTAACACCAGTACCACTATTGTGGGTCACGCACTTAAATCAGCTTATTGCTCATTTATCTCTGCATTATACTTGCTTGCGTAATAGCATTGTTTTTTTTTTCCGTAGTAGCATTCATGTTTTTTTAATGTCTCAATTCCACTTTGTTTAATGGACTTTGTTTAATGGGCTAATTACCTTGTTTAATAATTATTTTATAATTGCTATTTGATTTCATGTATTCTAGTGACTATATTCATAACTGCTGGGCTGTATCTTGTATGTATTAACTCAATTAAAAATTAGGGACCTTGTTTAAATTTAAATTTCCTTAATTGCAACAGCTTCCTCCTCAGCTACTTGATTACCTAATTTTTTTCAATATAGATTTTGTATTCTTTACTTTTATTTATTATTTATTTTTATTTGTTACTTGTTATATACTTTTATTTTTTTTAATATACTGGTACAGCACCAGTTAGTACTAATTAGCACCAGTGCCACCATTTTGGGCCAGACTTCAAGGCTTACGAATAAAAATAGTCCAACAACAGAAATACCGTGGGCTGATTATAAATAATAGGTTGTCCTGGATGTCACATGTCAAATGTCTGAAGCAGAGGGTAAGCACTCTCACAAATGCAATGAAGTACACAAACTTTCTCAAATGGGGAGTGCCTACAAAACTTCTTAAACTAGGGTATAAGTAACAGAGAAGGTGGTTCTATATGGCTCATCTGTATGGGGCGTGAACCTAACGGAGAAAATGAAGCGCATTCTGCTATCTATGCAGCGACAGCAGCTCTTAATGATATGTAGAGCTTATAGAACAACATCGATTGCAGCACTACAGGTCATAGCCGGAAGCATATTTTACAAGTGCATATCAGTGCAGCCACTGAAGGAGGGGTTCCGAAAATTGACCAATGAGCTGCTATTGCACTTGTGACGCTAAATCTTCATGTATATGAGCGTATGTTGTTTACGTTTTAATTTGCATTTGTTTCGCAGTTATAAATATATAACGTAATAGTAGAAAATCTCGGTGACCGACAAAATACCCACAGGAAAAAAGCCCACAGGAAAAATGCTCACAGAATAATACTCACAGGTATAAACGCTCATAGGAAAAAAGCCCACACAGAAATATGCCCACATAGAAAAATGCTCACATGGAAAAATGCTCACTTAGAAATATGATCACATGGAAATAAGCCCACTGGTAAATAAAATACGTAGAAATATCCTTACATTAATCAATTAATAATTAATCGATTTGAACATCGTACACAATTTTTCAAAGAAAAATTATTTAAATTACCAAAACATCTATGGTGTATATATATATATATCAAAAACTGTATAACTTATGTGTAGATTTAGTTGCTATATAAGATTGACAAATGGGCCATTTTGAATTAGGAAAAATAGAGGAGGAAGAAAGAAAAATGAAACACAATATACAGCGAAAAATTATTAAATTTTAGTTGTTGAAAAAATAAAATAATAGTAAGTGTAAGTTACACATTTTATAATATAAACATTTAGAAGAATAAGCAAATGGAAATAATTATTTTATTTAAATTACGTAAAATACCTTGTTATATATAAATCATGTATATTTCACATAAAATTTTAAGGTATTTCTCTGTCCTTCTTAGCATGCCTTCGTGGTGTGGTGGTCTGCACGCTGGGCGCGTATTCCAGAGGTCCGTGGTTCGATTTCCGGCGAAGGCTTGCTCATTTTTCACATCTGCTGCTTCCAAAATACCTAATGTCTCTACAAACTTACTGAACATTAGTTAATAGATGTAAATATCTAATTTGATCATGGATTTCATCATAGTTTCTAACATAATTCGCAATTACCAAATGTAAGTTTTCATATTTTCTTTTTCTTTCAGTACGCTCTGTATTTAGAACAGCTAGTAATAAACGTTGACAGGCTAAATCTTTTTCAGTCCGTCAAACAAAAACCACATACTGGGATGGCTACAATTAAATAATGAATTTAGTACCTTATGAAAGCTTTCGTAGTAATTTGTTGTTTTAGGAGATTTTTCGAAAGCTTCATAATGATGCCACACTTCGATTGGAAACTATATCTAACTATACTGTGGTCTTCTAGAACTTTTTCCTGTCCAAACTTAAATAACTACATTCAAACATCAATTTCTATAGATACACATCAAAGGTATGCAAAAATAGAGCAAATAAAAAACAAAACTATTGGCAATTACAGGGAAAAAAATGTCGTACAGGGGGCAGTGGTATAAAATATTATAGTGCATGCAAAATTTTACAATAGTTTTCATTCTTTTATGTACCGCCCCTGAAAAGGTTAATATAAGCATTTGTCCAATAATTTTTTCAAATGATCAAATAATTTTTCTTTAAAAACTTCAAGTAGGTGTATGATGTTCAAATTTATTAATTATTGATTGATTAATGTAAGGATATTTCAACATTTTTATTTATCAGTGGGCTTATTTCTATATGAGCTTTTTTCCGTGTGAGCATATTTCTAAGTGAGCATTTTTTCATGTGAGTATTTTTCTCTGTGGGTATATTTCTGTGTGGGCTTTTTTCCTTTGAGTATTTATACCTGTGAGCATTATTTTGCGAGGATTATTCTCGCGTGTTTCTTTTTTTTTTTTTTTTCTGTGGGTTTTTTCCCTAGAACCGAAAATCTCTCACTGCTTTTTTTTTTTTTTTTCCTGAGTTTGATGAATCACTGACATTTCACTTTCGCGATTTTTATCACGCATTAATATTAGAATTGATGTTCACGGCATATTATGTGGATTAAGAGAATTCAAGTGTATATTTTTTTTTAATTGAGCTGAGAATGAAAGTGTTGCAATGAATGTAGTGTTTTCTTATTTCAGTGCTTGCATTCTTTTGATTTTTAAAGTGTAAGATTCAGAGTACATATGATCTGATTATATCCACTGCTAACATTAAAAATTATATGTGAATAAATTGAATATACTCGTTGTGAATACGATAAATTCCCTCTGTTTGATGAGTATTTCTTGTGTAGACAGTACATTTAAGAGAAAGCATTTATTAAATGGGCAGTTTAATGCTCTAAATGTGTACGAATGCAAATTAGTAAAGTTTTATGTAAAGCTTGCATTTGGGCTCAGATGATTCGCAACATGATTCACATAGTATTTCTTTCTTCATCTTATTCACTACTTATTAAATAATATTTCACATCGATATTTTTGCGAAGTTTCCAACATGTGTTAGTATTTATTTCAACCAAGTAGTGAAATCTTCATAATTTCCTATATTTGATCTAACTTCGCAATGAAAAAAAGTTTCAGAAGCAATCGACGATGCTTTAATTATTTTGTAAAGAAAATTGCGTTGCAGAATATTTTCAACCATCTTGCTTAATTCTTAAAGCACGCGAAATGTCATGTGACATGACAGAAATATTACTGGATGCTCATTGGCCCATCCCAGAAGCCACTCCCTCGGTGGCTACACAGATGTGCACTTATGAAATATGCTAGCCGGAATACTTGATAGTTGAAAGAGAAGCGGCTCCAACACACGTCATTCGGATGAACACTTCGTCTAGGCTATGGGATAAAATTTACACATGTACAGACTACGAAAAATTAAATACTATTAATGGGTACCACCGGCGAGCTTTGACCTGGAAAGACTGATCCCTCAAACTACACTGTACGAAGAGTATGATATGGCCATGTACGCGACGGCTCGAAAACGGAACTGGGTACAGGAAGCAGCTACTGCTTAATGATAAAGAGTAATATAACTGGAAGTAACATACCTGGAAAAAACGTCTGGGAGCACAAAATTCTGTGTTCCAAGCGGAATTGACTGCTCTGCAAGCAACGGTTGCTATGGTCTCCAACATTCTAAATGTAGGACCATCATATACAGTGATTCAGCTTCAAGTTTCGCTGCAACAGCAGGAACTCACAGTAGAAATCCTTTAGTTCAAAATATACAGAGAATGCTGCTGAAAAGACACCTGGGTCCTAGACCGATCTTGTTCTGGGTACCTGCCCACACAGGAATCCAGGGCAATGAACACTCTGATATGTTAGCAAAAGAGGCAGCTAATAATGTGTCAACTAGGGAGCAGACTATGGCATTTCCTGTTTCCTTCCTGAAATGAAAAACGTGGACACAACTAACATCTAAATAGCAAACGCTCTTGGATACGACAAACATGGGAAGAAGGTTGTATCGGCACTTCACAAAAGTCAGCGCAGAAATAAAGAGTAACTTTTCGTTTCCCACACAGTTCCTCACTGGACATGGGCCCTT